GACAGTTCATGAGTCCCCCCTCTCTAAGTGTTTATGGCAACCTGGGATGGGAACTTATAACAAATTGTTTAAGAGTTCACCACAGGGATTTTGTTATTACTGGAAGGGTGCAGTGGTTCATAAGCCCCGGGTGGGGATCCTGTTGTGCTGATATTATGTGGGACGAACTAACATGGCCATATCGTCGAAAACGACGCAGTAATTGTTTTCAACCGTTTTCGTGCACTGGACGAAAAAACGGATTTACTAATGTTTGCGAAAGGTGCAAATATGTGGTAAATTTGGAGCTCCAAATTTGCATTACATTTGCGCTGTTGGCTAAAGTGTAGGCAAATACATATATTTGCTAGATAGGTATTGATACGCAAAAGTGAAGTAAATGTAATGGTTTGATACAAATTTGATACATATTTGCAGCATGGGCAAATCGTCAACATTTCTACCAATTTACTCAAATTTACATCCTTGGCAAAATGACAGTTTTCACTTTACTTCAAATGCAATGCGCAAAAAATATTGCAAAACCCTAATTTGCAGTGGTGTTTGCTCTTCTTTTTTTCAGGATACCAAAAAAACTTTTGCATGTGGTTTACTCGTATTTGCCTTAAGAGCAAAAAAAAACAATAAATTTCTAGACATTTGGCTGTATCATAAATTTGCACATTTGCATCATAATTATCCATATTTGCAAGGGGGGCAAATATAGTGAACTGCATAACATTTGCTGACAGTCAAAGGTGATGTGCATCTGACATTTCCTATATGTTTGATTCGTTTTGTGACTAAAGTAAATTTCCAATCTCAACTGTAACATTACATTGTTACAATAAAATTTTGTACACGCTGTGAGACTCTGCCCAGAGGTCCAACCCCTTACATGCATCTTTGCTGTTAACTGTTTTATGTGCACTGTCATTTTAATATAAAGGAATCAGAAACCAGTTAATTTTTTTGACAATTTTACAGTCACAAATTTCTTCTGTTAGTCTTTTTACAGAACGAAATGACAGATAGTCTACCCTGTCATATACTTTAACTCAGGAAACCCCTATCCTTTCATACCTGAAGCATGAAAAAGGTGTCCCTTTCTGACAGCGCCCCTGGCATAAACCTTTCCCGGGCGTCAAATCTACTCGTTATTAAGGTCCAGTAGACAGATCATTGATGCACTGTATTTCCTACAGTCAGGGCCATAGCCAGTATGAGGCAAACCGAGGCACTTGCCTCAGTCATTTAAGGTTTGATCCTGGCAGTGTTTTGTTTCAACGTAGTCATCATAAAGACCCTGAATGGCTAGGCGGGGAATTCAATCATGGATATTGCCTCAGTCCTTATTTTTTTCTGGCTACTGCCCTGTGTATCGTCATAAAAATTCCTCTATTAACTTATGGGGCAGTGTACATCTTAACAAGTGGTATTCCCTTATGCACAACTATTACCACAGGGGTCCTTAAACTAAAGATAACACCTATAAATGACAACTATGTAGCGGTTGGATGGCTGTAAATTCACCTTCATTAATATTACATGATGCTCACTTCCAAGCTGAATTAGGGAACCAAATTACTTCATTGTACATTGGTGTAAAATATTGTGTTTTTCAAGGGTTGTCATACATATACTGCAGGGTTCTTTCTATATTTCCGACAATATTTATACTGATTCTAGAGGCATATATCATACGGGACTTATTTGTTGTAGTTTTGACTGCCAAACCTAGAGATGACCACTTCTTGATGGTGGGCTTCCTAAAAATGACCACATTTTGAAAAACCAACAGTCAATATTACAACAAAATATGGTGATACTGCTCACAATTTTCTTTGAACATTAACTCAGCTGACAAATTTATGAAAGGCTAATTTTTCTTACTCTGTTGTTTGCAACGCTGAGTTTGAGTTTCACTGATTTTAATGCTGATTTTGAGTTTCACTGTTCATTAAGTACTACCTATTCAATCCAAAAAAGTCATAGCATTTTTGCTGGCTAAAATTCACCTGAAGCCTGGTTATTGGATCTTGGGATACAAGGAGGATCTACAGGAACTACCGGTTGAATGGTCAAATCCTACCCGACAACCCCCCCCCCCCCCCATAAACAATGAACAGACCTTTATTGGGTTACAGGATCACAGGAGCTCTGAGTTGGCCTTGTCTCATGAAAAGTCTAGAGCTATAAAGAAAAAACTAAGGTGGTGAAACAAATTAACATGCAGGATTTATCCTTATGGACTGGGTTGCTCAAAGATGGGTTAAGATAACACAAGGTTAGGTCCAGTAGTCAGATCATTTACTGTATTTTTTGTACATCATACTAAACAATCAAATTTGGTCCAAAATAAAAAGTTTTGTGGATTTCAAACTCAGGGTTGTGATTATTCACTTGTACATAATTTCCTCAGGGCCATTTAACCAACAAACTTAATTCAAATTAAAACCAACAATTTTAGTTTAACCGGTATTTGTTGTAGTTTTGACTGCCCACCTAGAGATGACCACAT